AATGAATTATTTTGCCAGTGAGTGTTTCAGTTGGTTCCTTAAATGATCAGTCTTGTCCTAGAGACTGATCCCTGATGACCTTTTGGTTTAAAAAAAAAAAAAGTATTCTCATAGCACCATCTGCTGGCAAAGAGAAATCAAAGGAGAAAGCAGTAAGCAACCAACCAGCAACTGTTGTATTAGGTGAGTGTTACTGTATAATACGTTAAGGATCCATAGGCTCATTGATTTATTGAATGTCAGACACAGAAAGCCCTGTTAGGACTCATCCTGCCCAGTCTGCCCATTTTATCGAGGAGGAAACTGAGTCCCAGAGAAAAGAAATTACTTGCCCCAAAGTTACACAGCTAGTAAGTGGCAAAGCCAGGACTTGACCTCAGGCCTTCCCGACAAAGGCCCGTTCTGTTCCTATTACACACCCCAGCCAGAGCCACATCTTCATTACTTTGCACAGACCCTAGCCTGGAGAAATGCTGAGTGTCAGGATCAGCAAGTTCATGTGGCAAGGGAAGAAGAGCATTGGCCTATGCCAGTAGACCTCAGTTCTATACTGCCTCTTCCACTAATTAACTGTGTGGCCATGGGCAACTCACTTTCTGCTCTGGGCCTCAGGTTCCTCATTTATAAAACAAGAGGATTGGCCTATAGATCCTCTAAGGTCCTTTCCAGGTCTGACATTCAATGATGATACTGATGTATGTGTTTAGATGTTTGACTTTCACAATGAAAATAACCCCGGCCCTCTGGGTGTCGATTCAGTTAAGCCACTACCTTGTGCAAGGCACTGTGGAGGTGATGGAGATAAGAAGATAGCTAAGAGCCCTGCTTCCCAGGAGTTTTTGGTTTAATGCAGCCTATTTATGTTAAAGAGATATTTCAGGCCTCTTCCCCACATTCACTCAACAGATCAAGCAAATTGATCAACAAATATTCATTGAATGCCCAACCCTGGGCAAAACTTTTGGTGGGAGACAAATAAGTGTGAGCCCTAGTGTCTTACCCCCATGGGGCTTAGTCTACTTAGGAGAGGGAAGCACTAATGAAAGAAACAGAAGACACCATGTTCCTAAACTGAGGAGCACGGACATGGTAACCATGCCTTCCAGTCCAAAAGTTTAATCTGACAGAAGATACTCATCTTGCTAAACCTTGCTAGGAGTATACTTTGTTCTTAAAAATCAGGACCATCCTGGGAAATCCAGGATGTACAGCTGCCATCGACATAAACTGTAATTGCTATAGGATTTAGGCATGGGAGTGTTAAAAGATGCTTGTTGAACTGGACCACTGTTTGGGGGGAAAACCATCCATCCTCTTACCTGGCTTTAGGCACCCACCCACCTTTAGACAAATAGCCAGGCCCTTAGGTTAGGATGCCCATCACTGGGCAGGAGACAAAGTTCTTATGGACAATATTATGATGATTACCTTGTTCTGGTCAGTTAGGGGATTGGGGACTTTGGAATGGGGTTGTGGGAGCTGGGAGGGATGGTGGCACATGTAGGGAGCCTAGAAGAGGAAGATGGAAGATGACCATGGAACAGCTAAGCAGATTGATGAGAAGCCAGGAAATAATGACTTATATTAAATAATAGATATTTGTATAATGGGTGTGTCCAAGAGTAAGCCTGGGCAATAGCTGGTTAAAACATGTGTCCTTTGAGATTTTGATTACACGTTCCTATGAAAGGTATGACAGCACTGAGTACTCCAAGTACCCTATAATAAGGGCACCTTGCCTCTGCTACTGCCTTTCCTTTGGTCTGACCAACATCATCTCTTGGGTCACATGGCTCCTGAGGTTAAATGGTATTGAAGGAAGTCAGGAAACCTTGTTGACTGGGTCCACTAGAAATTTATATTATCTCATCTCACCTGTGCCTTCAGTGCATCTAGGCATTCCTTCTACTCAATTATTCTCTATCCTCTTCACAATGGCAGCTGTTTTTAACCTCCTTTTTTCTCTTTCAGCCTCCCACCTGAGAATATATACAATATATTTGTGTGTGTATACATGTATGTATATATACATATATATGTTTCATTTAGAAAATTGAGATCATCTTGAGAGTCCTGTCTTCTGTCCTTATCTCATCCCTTCAACATTATTTTCCACTGCATTCTCAAACAGGCCACCTTTCTTCTTTCCATGACCAGCCCTTTTACCTACACAGAGATCCCATTCCCTCCCAACTTCTTCAGGAAATTGTTGCCCTTTAACATCCTTTCTTTCTAATCTTCAGTCTCTTCCCAGATATTGGTGGTTCCTTCCCTAATGCCTACAAACACTCCTATCCTATCCTCCATCCTTCCAAAAAAAAAAAAACAGAACCCCTCACTATATCCTACCATCCCTGCTAACATTCTGTATTTCTTCTCCCCTTCTCAGCTAAATACCTGTCCTCTCACTCTCTTCTAAACTGTTTGTGATCTGGCTTCTGACCTCACCCTTCAGCTGAAACTGCTCTCTCCAAAGTTATGTATAAGGGGCAGGTAGGTGGCACAGTGGATAGAGCACTGGCCCTGAGTTCAAATATGGCCTCAAACCAAACACTTGACACTTACTAGCTGTGTGACCCTGGACAAGTCACCTAACCCCAATTGCCTTAAAAAAAAAAAAGAACAAAAAAAAACAAAGTTACCGATGATCTCTTAATTGCCAGATCTAATGGTCTTAATCACAATTCCAAAGGACTAATGATGAAACCTGCTATCTTAGAGCTGATGGACTCAGGGTACAAATTGAAGGATATTTTCTTCTCTTTCTTTTTCTTTTTGGACATGGCTAATGCAGGAATTTGTTTTGCATGACTATATGTATTTGTAAGAGCAACTAGGTGGCAGAGTGGATAAAGTGCCCAGCCTGGAGTCAGGAAGACATATCTTCGTGAGTTCAGATCTGGCCTCATATGCTTACTAGCAGTGTGACCCTGGGCAAGTCACTTCCACCTTGTGTCTCAGTTTCCTCATCTGTAAAATGAGCTGGAGAAGGAAATGGCAAACCATTCCAGTATCTTTGCCAAGAAAACCCCAAATGGGGTCACAAAGAGTCAGACATGACTGAAAAAAGACTGAACAAAAACAATATATTTGTAATGTGTTTTGTTTTTCTTGCATTCTCAGTGGATGGGGGAAGGATGGGGAAGAAGAAAATTCAGAACTCAAAATAAAATTGAATTTGTTTTAAAAAGACCTAAAGAGGAATACTCAAGAAGGTTTTAAAAAATCTAATGGTCTTTTCTCAGTCCTCATCTTTCTTGACCCCTCTGCAGCATTTGAAACTACTGACCACCTTCTCCTTGGGATGAGTCTCCTCTTGGGGTTTTCAAGACACTACTATCTCATGTTCTAATTCTACTTGTATGACTGTCCCTTCTCAGTCTCCTTTGCTGGATCTTCATTCACATCATGCCCACTCAATGTGAGTGTCCAAGGTCCCACTGCCCCATACTATCTTACTTGGTGATCTCATTATCTCCCACAGGTGATGATTTTCTTTTAATTCAATTTATTTAATTTCTTTCAGTTATTTTCTTTACACTTATAATTACCAAATGTATATCCAGACCAATTTTCTTTTCAGTTTGACCCATTTCTTACCCTTTCAGTCTTCATACACTTCATTTCCCTTTATAGTCCAGCCACTTGGCCAATTTGTTCTTCCTCACACACAAGGTTCCATGTATAGTTTCCTGGCTGTCCTCCATACCTAGAATGTTCTTCCTTCTCACCTTCCCCTCTTAGAATACCTGTCTTCAAGATTCAACTTGAATGCTGCGTTTTGCGGAAGCCCTTCCTAATGTCCCTAGTAGCCAGAGCCTTCTCTATTGCTTTCCATATTAGAGTGTCTCTTGTTTGCACCTATTTATATAAGTTGGCTTCCCCTTAAGATGTAAACTCCCCATGGCAAACACTGGTTTTTGTTTGTTTTGTGGCTTCTTTTTTTTGTATCCTTAGTGCTTAACACAATGCCTGGTATATCATAAGTACTTCATAAATGATTGTTTGGTTGATTTGTTGGGGTTTTTCTTCCTGCCAACTCCACTCTTTGCTCCACCACGATTCTTGGCCTGGACTGTTCTGCTCTCTGCCCTCCAGAAAGGGGGCCATCATTCACAATAGCTGGAGCCGATCAAATAATCCACAATGTGATGTAATCATTCTGTGATTTAGTAAGTATCCCACCTCCACCCTTGAGTACCTGCCAGCTGCTCCCGGAAGATGTCCCCAGTGGCCTCGTAGAGACAGTCTTCCCTTACTGTGGGAGGCCTGGACTCTCTTGGCCTCCTCCAATTTTGCCCTGGTTAATTTCGGGTCACACTGTCTACACTTCAGCTTTTACTAACTGCTTTCGTACCTTAATTATCCTATTTGATTCCCCACCCTCAAAGGCAGGTCCTGCAAGTATTATTATCCTGATGTTACAGAGGGTAAACTAAGACACAGATGAATGACTTGCCCTAGAGCACACAGATGACTAGCGTCAGGCTCTTTACACTGCACTCAAACGGCTTCTCTAATATCAATCATCAGTCCGTTCTTAAACAGGTTTTCGGTGGTCTTTATCATGCAAACTGGAACACAGAACAGACCCAGAATTTTTTTTTTTTTCCGGTGGAGGGAGGAGGGGAAGAAAGAGGGAGAAGGTGAGGGAGAGGGAAACCAATGCGGGATGTGACGTCACCGTTAACCAACTGGAATTGTGGGAAGTGTGGTTTGTTATGAACTCCAAAAACTCCTCCTACCAGAAGATTGTTATGCTGAAAGGGTTTGAGTGTTTCCAGACTCTTGTCTTCCGGGGACTGCCTGCAAAGCTGCTCTGCCTTATGGGAAATGTAGTTTACCACTCCCGACTCGGTTTGCAAGAAAGCGCAAGACGGTAAGAAAGGAAACTTAGTATCTTCCCCAGGAGAAGAATCTGGGTGCCAACACCCGCTGCCCTCTTTATCAGTACAGAGGCCGGGCTCCCTCCAGCCCCAGCTTAGAGTACACCAACTCTATGGTCAAATTAGCCTAGAAGCTATCAGCGTGAGCGTCTCTTTACGGAAGGGCGTGCAGCTGCGCATGCTCAGTGAGGGTCGCAGGAAAGATGGCGGAACCTGAGTGAGTGTTGCCCGTTCGTGGTGTGCGGAGCATCCGCCAACATCCGCGGGTTTGGGATTTTGTTGGGGGCCAGGAGAGGGTGGGGACTTTTGGGTTCGTGCTGGGCGTCCCTGGTGTAAGTTGGAGTGTCTTCCTACCTGTTCTCGGGCCGTGGGGCCCGGCCTCTCCCCAGGTCTCTGTCGCCTGGCCTTGGGCCTGGCGAGGGCCCCTCCTCGACTTAACCCGAGCGTCGGGACGAAAGCTCCCGCGTGCGTGGCGGGGGGGAGGGGGAGCGGGGTGTCGGTGCGGCGGGCGACGAGAGCGAAGGGTGCGTTGTCTGGTTTGGGGAGGGGGAACAGCAGCAGCCCGCCTTTAGGTAATCTGGCTCTTTCGGCTCGAAATATTCCTTCGCAGCCACGTGGAGGGGGCTTTTTCGGGGAGGGGCGGTTTTGGAAAAGGAACTGAGAAGAGGGCAAAGGTCAGGAACAACGAGCGTTTTTTAAATGTGCCCTACCCCCACAGGGGGCTTCTGCCTTGGTGCTCTCTTTCGTCACCTCTTCCTCTTGGAGGCCTTTAGCTCCCTTCAAGGCTCAGATTAAATGCCATGTCCTTCAACAGGCCTTTCCTGAATCCCCCAGTTGTGTTCGACACCCCTCCCCCCAAGCCTTTGTATTTATATTGTATGTGTCCCTTATATATGATTATCTATAAAGTATTGTATTCCCTTAGCTTCTTGAGGTCAGGATTGGCCCCCTTTCCTATCTGTATTTCCAGTGTATGACACATAGTAGACGCTAAATTGGCTGTTGGTTGGACACACTTAATTGAAGTGTGGCCCTGGGCAAATCACAACCTCTCAGCCTCAGTTTCCTCCTATGGAAAATGGAGTTAATTGTAGCTAGCACCTACGTCCTAGGTATATAGTGAAAAATCCAAAGGTATAAATATGTAAACATGCACCCTTAATTGAGCATGCAAGGGGACCTCTGGGCCCCTCTATTAAGGGACTTTGCAGCCTTAAAGTACTATTTAAGTGCTAGCAACTGTTGTTGGGCATGGGCCCTCATACAAAGGCATACAGTTGCAAGGCATGATAAGTACATTGGGAAAGTGCAAAACAAAGTGAGATTTGAAGGAGAAGCTGGAAAAGTTTTCTAGTGTTTTTTCTTTGTTGTTTGAATTTGGCTTTAAAGGATTAATAGAAACTCAACTAGGAAAAAACTGGGGAGGGGGCATTCCATTACGTAAACTACCTGTGCAAAAGCCAAAACTGTATACTCATTATTTTTCTAAACTAGGCCCAGAAGAAAGATTCCTTTGGTTCCAGAGAATCTCCTGAAGAAGAGGAAAGCTTACCAAGCACTCAAAGCAACTCAGGCTAAGCAAGCACTTTTGGAAAAGAGGAAGGTAAGGGTTTAAGATGAAGGGAGGAGAGAATTAACATCAGGTGGTCAAGCATTGTGTGCTCTGTGCAGTATTGAGCATAGTTTTTACCCAGTGGGCTCATGGGTGGCTGTGTGGTGAAATGGAATAAGGTACTGGACTTGGAGTGAAGGAGGCCTGACAGTTTTGGGGTAACTTTGGACATATCACTCTTTTTAAATCTCAGTTTCCTTATCTGTAAAATAGACCAATGACAATAAAAGTACCTGCTTCATAGTATTGTTGTGAGGCACAAATGAGATCATGTATTTAAAAGGTTTTGCACATTTTGAAGTCCTATATAAGTGGTAGGATTATTATTACTATCCTTTAAATCTTATTGGTTATTTCACTTAATATGTAGGTTCTTTGGTCCATATTTTACTTATATTTTCTTTCCATTAATAAGCATGTTTTGAGCACCTGCTCTTTGTAAACCCCTTTAAGAGGTGTGTTAGGCCCTGAAAGACACACGCACAAAAAAAAACATTGTCTTTGCTCTCAGGTATCTTAAAGGCCATATACACAAACACCAATTGAAAAAGATGTTGGAAACAGTTTTTTAATAAGTGTAATTCTCCAAAAGAATGAAGGCTCCTTGAGAGGGAGGGAGAAGAGGGCTGCTTCAGTTTTGTCTTTGTATAGTACCTAGCATTTAATAAAGGCTTATTGGAGGACAGTTTGGTATTTGAATTGGGGGGGGGGCGTGTTTAAAGATAGGATTAGAGTGAAATGATAGCAATAAGAAAAGACTTTAGACATAACCATGTTTCTGATTAGAAGATAAAACTACCTCTAGCCTTTACCAGGTGACCTGGGTCAAAATACTTAGAGCTTTCTATTAAAAGTCTTTGTCTCTAGGAAATCTTGCTAAGATAGCTCATTGCCCCCTTTTCATCCTTGTGCTGACTTGTGTATTTTGAGCAATTTCTCTATTCAATTATTTAATTCATCTGGTTTTTCTCATTAATAAACTTCTAAGGTGACCAAAGCCTCAGTGCAGCTGATGCAAATAAATGTTTGAAGATGAAAAACCCTGATGGCAGGAATAATGTTCTGTGCTCATGCTAGGCTTCTTGAAAATAGTTTTTTTTTTCCTTAATGAATACATACTAAATTTTTTATTATCATATCAGCTCAGTACTAGAAATCTAGACCTTGAGGAAGTTTTGTGCTTATTTGTTGATTGCTTTCCCTACAAAATTGTCCAGGGTCTCTTGATTATTCGAGTTACTTGGGACCTTACTTTTTTCACCTGTAAAACAAGATAAATATATTTGTTATCCCTGTTAAAACACTGACAGCAGATGATGACTAATAATAACAGTCAAGTTCTGGAAAGTAAAGGGAATTGAGATACAGACCGATAAATATTTCTTCTTTTGTTTACTCTCAGCAAAAGAAAGGAAGGCAGCTCAAATTCAGACGGCTGGAATCATTTGTCCATGAGTCCCATCGGATCGTCCGTGATGTGGCTCGTCTCAGGCGCCTGGATTCAAAGCCTGGGTGCTATGTGCTGAAGGATGCACATCGTCTGGCCTTTGTGGTCCGTATGGAGAGGTGAGCCTCCATAGGGGTGGGGTTACCCTAGTGAAGGTTCTGAGACACCTCCTACCAGGATCTGTATAAGTTCAGAGAGATTGTTTAGAGAAGGCTTAGGGCCTTGGAGCATTGTTGGGAGGTGTTCTGAACAGGTTGGGTGGCATGGGTCAAAACACTAGTGGCATCTGAGTGTGGTCAGGAAGACAAAGAGGAAACCTTTGTGTAAGGGAGGACCAGATTACATCTTTGAGTCTCTTCCATTTTTTGTGTCTTATGACTCTGAGGCTGAAAAGTGGGGTGATAATGAGTTCAGCTTTAACCATGTTGCATTTGAGGTGACATCAGGACATCCAGGTAGAACTGTCCAGCAGATTCAGGTGATAAGTCTACTAGAGATTGGGATCACTTACCCACTTACAACTGATTGTTTAGCTTGAGCCACCTTACTCAAGGTTACTTGCACATACAGAGAGAACACCAGACCTCAGAAGTACTAAAATTATTGATAATGAAAGCTTTTTAATGTCTCGCCACAAAGAACCCTATTGGTCACAGAATCACACAACTGAGAGTTGGAAGGGGCCTTCCACCTAGTCCAGTCCATATCTATAAACCCTGATATAATACACTACACAAGGAGTCACTTGTGTTTCTTAAATAAGGACTATAGAATCCACTCCTTGTTACTATAAAAGCCCTTGGAAAATTTGATCAACTCTAATGATAACACCTTTAGAATTGAAGGACGTTAAAGCTTCTCACGTTTCTTTACTTCTTTCGCCTCCCACATCTGCTAGGATTGTTTTCAGATACTTCAAGGAATCACCAGGAAAAGAAAAATTCACAAGCTCTGAGGTCCTTTGAGGTAGAAACAGTATTAAGCCTGTCTACACACCACTGTCAGATCTTTCTGAAATATTGATTTGATTCATGTAATTCCTCTGTTCAAAAACCTCAAGGGGCTATAAGATTAAAGATCCAAATTCCCCAGGGTGACATTCATAGTTTTCTACAAATCAGGCAAAACCTACTTTTCTAGGCCATATTCCATATGTAATCCGAAATCAGTATACCTTCCTGTTTTATCTTTTTGGAGCAGTTTAACTCTTGGAAGGCCACTGTTCACAGAGGTGAACAATTTATTGTCTGAATTTGACAGCAGTCTTCATTTTGCAGATCAGATGAAAGGACTTGTCCAAAGGCTCACAGCTAATAATAAATGGCAGAACTGAGACTAGAAGAACCTAGGAACTCAAGCTCACTGCAGAACCCAGCATAGTTGTGGGCTGTAAAGCACTTAAGTTAAATTAATGCTAGCTTTTACTATTGTTCCTCTGCTTTTCTCTGTCGACTCTTCCTTGCTGGGTTTCTGAGAACAGTTTGGAAAGTAGAGTCTCAGCTTCTGAGGGAAAGATCTTATAGCTCGGGGGAAGGGCCAATTTTTCCAAAGAGCCTTTCCAAGACTTAGTATTATCTGTATGCAGGAGACTAATTTCTTTACTGTCTTTTATCAGGATTAATGGAGTGAGTAACCAGGTGACAAAGACTATAGAGGAACTTCGTCTGAAGAAAATTTATAGTGGTGTGTTCATTAAAATGACCCCAGATTCCTTAAAGAAACTTCGAATTATAGAGCCTTATGTAGCTTGGGGGTGAGTAAGGAGTTCCTGGTAACCTTATGCAGAGGGAGGGGAAGGAGTGGGGAGCCAAGATGGGGACGGGGGTTGTGAATTAGATATAAGGGAGAGGGGATTTAAACTGATTGGAGGAAAAATAGTTGAGGAAAAACCTGGTGGTCTTATCTTTAGTGCCCATTTTACTATGTTGGAGGAAGAGATATTATTGACTCTCTTCTAAGTGTGTTTCTCCCATCCAGGGAGGGGAGAAAAGCATGAAATTAGCTAGAGGCTGTGCAGAAAGTAATGTACATGGGGATTTTTTGGTTTTTCTGTTTTTTTGTTTTTTCTTAACTTTGGGACTGGCTTACATTCCATATCCCTAACTCTGTACCACTGAGTATTTGGCTAGTGTGTTTCAGGAGATAGTTAATGATATGTACTGAAAGGTTCCAAGATTGAAGGTAGCAATAATATTCAGATGTGACAGAATTACACTCTTTATGAGAATTGGGTAGGAGGAGGTTTGCTCAGTCTTGGCGTTCTAGGAAGCAGAACTTTCCTGGTAGAGGGGGGTGAGTATTTTCCCCAAAAGAAAAGCAGAAACTCACATAGTCTGAGGCAGCAGCATCCATGCTGTGAAGCAGCTGCTAGTGAAAAGTGTGATGGTCAAATTAGAAACCTTTTTTTAAAAGCATGAGAAGGAAGAAGCCCTATCCTGTTTATCTAAAGGATAATCTACAGGGCAGGGAAACCCCAGCTTGGATCAAGGTGTTTAAGAGGCCTGTACTATTTAACCTAAATTCCTTTTTTTCCCTCTAGAGCAAAAATTCTGTGCCTTTATTAGGGATTGGTGAGCATAGTGTGGGGACAGGATTGCTAGGGCATCATCTTTGCATTTATCATATTCTGGTTCCTCTGCCTCTATAATTAACAGCTTGCTCTTTTTTCCTTCTTTTCACAGATATCCTAACCTAAAATCTGTCCGTGAGCTCATTCTGAAACGAGGACAAGCCAGGATAAATAATAAGAAAGTCTCTCTAACAGATAATACTCTGATTGAGGAGCGTCTAGGTGAGAATTGAATCATAGGTATCTATTTCTTATGATAGTGGAGGTGAGAAAGAACAGATGCGTAAAAATTGAAGGTAGAAAGAATAAGAGACAAAACTTTAACAAAGAGTTTCAGTGAAGCTTGGTGCTAATTGAAGCTGGTGTGTTTTTCAGGGAAGTTCGGTATCATCTGCCTGGAAGATGTCATCCATGAAATCTGCTCAGTGGGGGAACATTTTTCTCAGGTCTCGAGGTTCCTGTGTCCTTTCCCCCTGTCTGTGGCCCGTCATGCTGCCAAGAATAGAGTGGGCTTTCTTAAGGAAATGGGCAAACCTGGCTACCGAGGTGAAAGTATTAATCAGATCATTCGGCAGCTGAACTAGGCCCAGGTAAGAATGGACTTGTTTCTGAAGGGCTTTAGGACCCTATCGTGGCATCTACCAAAAGAGAGAAAACATTGAACATTTAGCTACTGGAGTACAAGAAAGAACCCAAACTTTGTAGTTGGTACACATGGGATTAAAAGTGTTGGCTCCACTGTAACTGTTTGCTTTCAAAGTCTGTTGCTTTCTTGAAATCTTTAAAGCCAGAATAAGAATCTTGTTTCTGTTCTCAGGTATGTCTCTATACTGATTTAGGGTAAGTCTGTGTCAAGGAAATGGGTTAAACTCAGCTGATTTTTGGTTTGGTTTGGTTTTAGGGGTTTCAGAGAGGCTATGCAGATCCAAGGAATAGGATAAAGAGCTAGGAGGGGCTTAGATATCATCTAATTTATTTTTTTCCTTCTCCCCCCCATCTCCCGCCACTTTCATTTTGCAATTGAAGAAACTGAGGAAGCCAGAGAAGTCTCACAAATCAGAATTTGAACTTGGGGATCCCAGCTCCAAAGCTAATGCTTCTCCCAGTACTGTGCACTATACCGGTTTTTGAAGAGGCAATCCTTCCTCTTTTGACTCTTGAGACTACCTGATAATTTGAGTTGGTTGCTATAAGCTCCTATTAATTCAATTACTTTTTTCTCTAGGATCTCAGAAGATTTACATCTTTTCTGAGTTTGTACCCAGTATCTTCAAAGAAGATTTCTTTTGTGCTAGAACTTTCTCTGGAAACTAATGAGATAGGAAGAAAAGAGTATCACCTATGTAGAAGCAACTTTTCCGCCTTCTATACTTTTCCTCAAGGAAGAAACCATATTGGTTTATCCAGCCAGCTTCATCTTGGATTAAAGTCTCGTGACCATCGAAGAGGAGTGGCTATACTTCATACTTTGGGATTGGAAGCTAGATTGAACCCATTCCAGTTTTTTCGTGGTGGCCTCCCATCCAGAGAGCAATCAGTTGTTAGCCATATGTGGTTCTGTACTCCGAGGGTTGAATGTTGTAAAATACACTTTGTCACTCTGCTCTTCACTTGGAAACTCCACTTGGAACAAGATAATGGGACCTGATCTGGGTTTTGAAGTGACATTCAAATATAATGGGCTATCATCTTTGGGACTCTGTTTTTTATGATACCTGTATGACTCAGGGTCTTGCCTAGCAACTATGTTAGTGGGCTTCTCATGCATCGGCACTGCTCTCATGCCACCACTGTACACCAGGTCCCATTCCTTCTTGCCATTAAAGTAGAGCTGTTGACTGTAGCCTGCCACAAATTTAGCCCTTTCTGGGTCAATATGAATCAAATTTTGTTTTTCATTACCCTTATTTTGTGGTCTTCCCTTGCCCCTTATCTTTTCCCCACAATCTAAGGTAATAAGTAACTAATTATCAAAGTGTCCATAAGGGGTAGTAATAGTAATAGCCAACATATAGGGCATTTAAAGTTTGCAAAATGCTATATCTTTGTTCTGTCATTTAAACCCCACAATAGCCCTGTGGAGTTAAATGCACCTTAAGCCCTATTATACAAAGAGAAATAAGTCTTGGAGAACTTGCCCAGGGTCACATGACTAGGAAATGTCTAAAGTGTGATTCAAACCCAGGTTTTCCAGATCCGAGGTTCAGCAGCATCTGTACCACCACACAACAGATGTTTTAGCCGAGATTTCATATGTGGTCTTAAGAGTCACTAAGTATGCCCGCCTTTATGTGGCCGTGGGAGAGAAACCAAAACATGTTTATTAATCATTTATGTGCTCAGCACTTTATAACTGTTCTCTCATTGAGCCTTGTCTTGGGAACATCACAGGAACTCCCCCCCTTTCTTTCTAGGCAGCTCCTTGATCCATCTCACTTGTTCTGACACACTGTTTAAGATGCAGAGCAGACATTTGGCACTTGGGAAATTCACGAAGCAGCAAGATTCTTACCTTGGCTGCCATTTAGTTGAAGTCTGGTGATGAATGCATTGTGTTTCTCTGCAAGAGCTCCACCACTTGCTTCTTTCCAATGAAAAAGAATAAGCAATCTTGAAATTTTGGAGACTGTTTAAAATTGAGTAGGTTTGTGCTAATTTTATGGTTAATGGTTTAAGTGGGAAACTAGCTAAGGACTCCTTTTTCCCTGGTTACACTAGCGGGAAACTCTTAACTGGCATACTTTTGTTAGGGTCCCAGTCTTTCAAATGTTGTCAACTTAAAAGACTATTAAAGCTATATAACTAGAAAAGGTAAAAGGATGTCATTTGTATCACCAGTTCCTAAAGTGCAGATTAAAAACTTCCCATACTACTTAAGTATTTCTGTTTATTCCATTCATACGCCACTATTTTACAAGTGAGGAAAATGAAGCATTTGGAAGTTCTGACTCACCCAGGGTCACACAGCTAAGAAGAGTCAGGGGCTGGTTTTGAAAATGGAAGTCAGACCTTTGACAATTATTCCTGTTTCTGTTTCTATAAGGCTAAAACATCTGTCATAAGCCCAGGCACGTGACAAGTCTGGCTCCTTGAGAATTTCCTGGCTGGTTTGAAATTGGAAGGCTTTTAGAGAATGTGCCTCACAACTCTTGTCATTTTACGAGTGAGCCAAGTTCATAGAAATTGTGACTTCACAGTTACAAGGGATTGAGTGGCAAAGCTAAAGTTTGAATGCAGGTCTTCTGGCCCTATTCCTTTTTGCTAAAAATCATAAGCAAACCTGAAGCAATATAAAATAGGTTTCTTGAAAGGGCTTATAAAGTCTGGCTGAGGAATGTAATGGACTTGTGTGAAAACAACAGTACTACATAGTAGGGGCAGCTAGTTCAGGTCTAAAGTCGGGAAGACTCATATTCCTGAGTTCAGATCTGGCCATAGACAGTAGCTGTGTGACCCAGGGTAAGTCACTTAACCTTGTTAAAACTTGTTTCCTCATTTGTAAAATGAGCTGAAGGAAATGGCAAACTACCCCAGTCTGCCAAGAAAACCCCAAGTGGAATCATTGGACGAGTGAAAAAGGTAGTAGGTTAAGTATACTATATTTATTTATAATCTCATAACCACACTGTAAACTCCATTTGGAAACAGCCAAGACTGCTGGTTAGCAAGCTCTTTAAAGTCAAATTGTGATTTTCAGATAGTCAACACTAGTTTTATAACGTTTTTATTTATTTTGTACTATGGATGGTTTGTACTTTTAATAGCGTGAGAAAGTTACAGAATCCTCATTTCACAGTGTCGAAAGTTGTTAAGTCTAGCTTTGTAAGCATTTTTTAAAATTCGTTGCGTTCAATAGCTGTCCTCCAGCTTGTCTTCGAAGTCACAGAAACCAAAGCTTCGGTTCAGGTAACCATGGCTCATATTAGTACAGTCCTTTAAAAATTGCAAAGCATTTCCCTCAGCACAACCCTTTGAGGTAGGTAAGTGCAAGCATGTCCCAACTGTATGGAGAAAACTGGCTCAGCAGTGAACTGATCTGTCTAGCTGAGGTGGCTCGAATCCATGTCGCTTGGCCAAGTCCTGCGCCCTTTCCTTTCACTAAGGCTCCTCCAAGGGAGAGTACTCTTTCTCCCAACTACCCCGTCCCGACTTCACACCACCAAGCTGTGAAATCCGAGGGTGCGCCCGGCACAGGGTAAGTGCTTAATATTTGCTGAATCAATACGCGTCTTCCGGCGGCCGGATTCACAAGGTCTCACCCCACCCCGTCCGGCGTCTGGGGGGCTCAGCCGCTGCCTGGTCCCTGGGGGTGGGAGTGGGGTCCAGTCTAGCCAGGGGGTCTAGGGCGAGGACACGGCGGGGCTGGCCGGGAGCCGGGTTTCCCAAGGCTTGGGTCTCCGGGGGATTCGCGATGCGGTGGGCTCCCTGCAGGTGGCTGTGATGTGCAGCTTCTCCAGCCCGGGAATGTCCTGGCCTTGCTGCACCAGCCGCAGAATCTCCGAGAAAGACACGGCGCGGGACGGCTCCGGGGCCTCCCCCTCCTCCGGCGGCGCCGGGCCCCCAGGGGCGGCCAGGCTCTGGTCCGGGGCGCGGGGCCGGGGTGGCCCCGCCTGCTCAGCCTCGGCGCAGCGCGGCTCTCGTGCCCGGGCCGCTTCTCCGAGGAGGCTCGGGCCACCCTCCTCCCGCGCCGGCGGCCCGGGGACACGGGGCCTCACTGCATCCATGACAGCGAGGCCTGGGGCCGGGTCCTTCCCTCCCTCCGGGCCGGGCCCCGGGGCCTCCTTTTCCATCGGGCCGGGCCCCGGGGCCTCCCCTCCCGCCGGGCCGGGCTGCATTTGCAGCTGGCCGCAGCTAGCCGACTCCCGGGCCCGATCTGCTGTCAAAAGCGGAGTAGGGACCTTCGGCTCCGGAGAATACGGCCAGGTTAGACACACCCCAACGCCCTCCCGTGCACACTGGCCTCTGCAGGAGGGCTCGGCTACACCTGGCACAAAAACAACCCCAGAGGAGGCAAAGAAGAACCGGAGAAGGCGTGAGAGCTCCCACTTCCGATTTGGGAGGCCGGAAAGAACTGGTAACGGGCTTGGAGAGACGAGCTGGACCCTACCAAGGCAGCCCGGAAGGGGGAGCACAATCCCAGAATCAGAATGTCAGAGAGAGAAATGATCAGAAGACCTTAGATTAACATAACCTCACCAAACTCCCTCACATTTTACCGATGAAGAAACTGAGGTCACAAAAAAAAATTAAAAAAGAAATAAAAAAATAAAAATATAAAAAGAAAAAAGAAATTAAGAAAAAAAAAGAAACTGAGGTCACACAGGTAGAAAGAGAAGATGTCAGGAATCTAACTTAGGTCGTCTGACTCCAAAAGCAGTACTCTTTCCACTGCACCAAGACAATAACTATCCATATTTGTGCAGCACTTCAAAGAGTTTTGTTGTTCAGTCATGTCCAACTCTTTGTGACCCCATTTAGGGGTTTTCTTGGCAAAGAAACTGGAGTGGTTTGCCATTTCCTCCTCTAATGTGTCCCCATGTTGTTTGGATGAAGAACTGAGCACAGGGTTAAGTGACTTGCCCGGGGTCACATAGCTAGTAAGTGCCTGAGGTCCGATTTGAACTCAGGTCTTCCTGACTCCAGGCCCAGCACTCTATCTACTGCACCACCTAGCTGCCCCTATTTAAGGAGTTTAGCAATCATCTATTCTGACCCTCTTGTTTTGCGGATGGGGACAGTGCAGCCCAGAGAGGGGAATCACAGTTGGGACTTTAGCCACCATCTAGTTCAGCCTATATACAAAAGGAATCTCCACCTTTACATTTCTGACAAGCGGTCATTCAGTCTCTTAAAAACCAACAAGGAGAAGGAATCTGTCACCTCTTGTAGCAATCCATTTTGCTTTTAGCTAGCTCTAATTGTTAAGAAGTTTTTCCTGACATCGAGCCTCTTGGCAATATGCACCCAGGCCCCTGGTTCTACCCTCTGGGGCCAAATAAAACCATCCTGATCCATCCTCCCTATGACAACCCTGCAGATTTTAGAACACAACTATCAAATACCTCCAGAGGGTCTTCCTTCTCCTTGAGTACCTCTAATTCCTTCAATCAGCTTGCTTGAAGGCTATAGAGACAGTAAGTAGAAGAGCTGGGATTCAAACCCAAACTGACTCCAAATTCATCACCTTCTCCAATATACCACACTGATTCACAAAATGCATCCCAATGATTTCTATTTTCTCATTACTTACGTACATCAATATTTGGATGTGAGGGATAGGTAGAGATCCTTTTAATTCATCACATAGCTTAAAAAGACATAACTGGGAGTTTTTTTGTTTTGTAATAATTTGGTTTTTTGGCTGAGTTTTGTGGCAAAACTCACATAGTATATCAGGATCACCAGAAATAGGTTCAAGACTGAGTCCCTATTCTTGTCTCTGCAGACTTCCTAATCCAGTGACTGGATGTCATAATCATGGTTGTTTATATTTATGTAGTGAGTCCCAAATATCCTATGAGTTAGATTAGCACAGGTGGTAGGATACCCCCATTTTACAGATAAAAAGGCTGAGGCTCAGAAAGGACCTTGTCCAAGTTTGTACAACTAATAAATATCTAAACCAAGATTTAAATCCAGATCTCTCCTATTTAGAGGCAGTTAGGTGGCAGAGTGGATGGAGTGCCAGGCCTAGAGTCAGGAATATATGAGTTCAAACTCAGCCTTAGATACTTGTTAGCTATGTGATCTTGGGCAAGTCACAACCCCTGTTTGCCTCAGTTTCCTCTTGTAAAAAGGGGATAATGATACTACCTAACTCTCAGGGTTATTGTGAGAATCAAATGATATAATAATTGTAAAGTGCTTAGCACAGTACCTGGAACATAGTATGTACTATGTTAGCTATTATACATATATGTGCATATGTCTTTTGTAAATGTTAGCTATTATTATTGTTGTTGTTGTTATATTTCCCTACCCTGATTGACAGGGCTATTATTAAGAGGACTACACCTACCTGAAGATGAGGCTATAGTCACATAAGTGTAACAAGGGTCATGGAGCATTCACATAGGTACCCTACTTGCTTCTGACCAGCACTGAAGTGTGCCGGTCGTGCCGTGCACTCTCCTTCTAACAGGAGCAGGCTGCCAAGGTCATACTTACCAGTCTTCGGAGCCCATCCGGATAAACATAGAGACGAGCCGATCGGGAGGTGCAAGCACTCGAACTTTATTCAGAGGCCATCACAGCAAGGCCAAGCAGGAAAGCAAGAGCAGGAGCAGGAGCAAGAGAGAGTGAGCTCTGACCCCTACCGCCCCTATATACCTTCCTAGTCCCTCCTCCTCAGCCCGCCTACCAGTTAATGATTGTAGGATCAGATACCGGAAGGGGATGTCTGGGGTTAGCACTGCACCAAGGGAGAGGACGTGACAAAGGAAGCTAGGCTCGGATACTGGAAGGAGACGTCTGGGGTTAGCGCTGCACCTAGGGAGAGGACTAGACAAAGGGAGCTCATTCTCTGCTGTCCCACTCCCACGTGGCACAGCCCCCTGCCTCAGGAGCACATGCTCCGGCTACTTCCCCGTATCCAGTTCCTATCCCAGTTCACCACAACTCCACATGGCACAGCCCTCTACCTTGGGAGCGTGAGCTCCGGTTACTTCCTAATATCTTGTACCTGCCCCATCTTGCCACAACCCTCACATGGCACATAGCCAACATCAGACAATCCCTCACACTGAAGAACACAGGCATTTATGGGATGATGGGAAAACAAAACAAAACAAATCTATTGGCTACTGAGCAGGAAGAGTCATTGACACAGTGGCTTTTTAGAAGGGAATGAGAAGCCCTCAGTGTTCTGTTCAC